AAATAGGAACATGTGGGAAAAATGATAGACAGAGTCACTACATTTGGTCTCAAACCACGTGCAAGCATTTCTTGAACTAAATCTAATATTCCCTCACACTGGTTATTCTGAAAAAGACCTGAAATCAGAGCATTCCATGAACTCAATCCTGGCTGTTTCATTTCACGGAAAAGAATAAGGGCTTTGTCAACAAACCCATGAAACATATAACCAGAAATAAGTGCAGCATAAGTGACTTCATCTTTCTCGTCCATCTCTTCAAATAATTCTCTAGCATAATCCAAACTGCCACACTTAGCATATAATCCAATTAAAGAATTACAAAGTGAAATATCAATCTCAATTTGACGCTCAACTACGAACTTATGAACTTCCATGCCTAAAATAAGATCATTTGACTGCCCACAAGCTTGCAAGACACTAAGCAGTGTCACCCCATTAGGCCTCAAATGTGAAGAATCTATCATCTTCCTATACAATGCTTTACACTCCTCATAATATCCTCCTTGGGAATACCCAGCGATCATAGAGTTCCAAGACACAATATCTTTCTCAGGCATTCTATCAAACAATCTCCTGGCCAGTCCAACAGCGTTACATTTTGCATAAAACGTGATCAACCCATTACCTACAAAAACATCCTCATCAAACCCACATCGCAAGACAAAGCAATGCACCTCATTAGCCAACCTCAAGTCACAAAGCGAACCCGACAAGGCCTTCAAGACGCAAGTAACGGTGTATTCGTCGATCCTAACACTACCATCACCCAAACCAGACCAAACCAACGATGAAAACAACTTCAAAACGTCCAAATACATGTCATGAAAGGAGTAGGACATGAGCAGGGCGTTAAACGAGAAGGTATTTTTCTGGGGAATACTGTCGAACAGGTACCGGGCTTGATCGAGCTGTTTGACTTTCGAGTAGAAATTGATGAGTTTTGAAGCAAGGAAATTTGCGGGTGTAATGGAGAAGAGAACAATGCGGGCGTGGAGTTGCTTGGCTTGCCGAGGGAGGTTATTGTCTGTACAGTGTTGGATGAGATGCCCATATGCGCCATAATTGAGGTTGCTGTTTGGGACGCAAAGACTTCGCAATGCTTGCAGTATATTGGGGTTTATGGTCGATTTTAGGGTTTCAAATTTGTTCATCAACGGCTTTGCGATCTTCATTCATCTGCTTGTTCGTTGGCCTCATGGCCTCCGAACTCCGTTGGGCGTCTTCCGGGCTGAGAGCCGGAGAAAGGCTAAAGAAAAAAAAAAAAACTGAAGAAAATGCATCTGACGACGTCGCTTTGTTTAAGCAACGTAAAAAAACTACAGAAGGCACTTTTAAAGAATAACCTTAAATTGCCCCCTAAACTTATTTCTTCTATCAATTTAGCCTCAACTTTATATTTTCTTAGGCCAAACCTTACTTTGGACCAATTTTAAGCTGTGTACTGTATGTATATAGTTGCAAAGAAAAAGATAGTTAAATATAAAATAAAAGTTAATGGAAAAAAATTATAAATATATTTTTTTGTTAAGTTTTTACTTGATTAAATTTTTTAACTTATTGAAAAATTAACATAATAATGTTATATAAAAAATATTAGTTTATATAAGTTTTATGAAATATAGTGATAAGCTCATGTCCTATCAAATACTATAATGTTGATTCTACTTCCATGTTGGTCAACAAAGCAAATTAGGCAGGATTCTAATAGAAAAATGATAGTTGTGTCCCATGTGTAATACATGGGTTAATAATGTACTCAAAACTAAGTTCAAAGGATAAATTGAGGAAACAAAATAAGTTTAGGGACTTCGGGATTACTCTTCTTTTTTTTTTTTTAAGACTTAGTGTTTCACAACGGCGTCGTTTGCAATCTGACAAACTTCCTGAGACGGTTTAGGGTTTGAATTGAGAAGACGAAGCAGAGTTCAAAAACAAGAATTCGAAGGTTCCAAGCGCAGCTTCTTCCCGTTTCATTCCTGTAAACGCTCTCCAAATCAAACCGCTCTCGCTGATTTGAAGCTCCTGGATAAGGTATTGACGCCCAATCTCTTCTTCATCATTCTTCCCTTAAAGAAATTCGAAAATTCTGCTTCAAATTTCGTCACTGTTGCCTAATCGAGTGTTTAACTTGTTCTTGAAAAGGATTAAGTGTTAGATCGAGTTCGAGCGTACTAAAGATTATAAATTTAGGTCAGTGAGATAAGCAACTAGGCCTACAATCAGTGAACGGATTGAAGCATGTTTAAACAAAAATTATAAATTGTGTTTTATTCAAAGAATTCATGTAGTTTAATAATTTCTCTGAACTTTTCATCATCAATATTGAGTTTTCTTGAGAATTACTGTTCCGGAAGTTTTTTGGGCCTCTGAACTCTGAAATGAAGATGATAGTAAGCATTTGTAATGGAATTCGCTATGCAGAGATATCGTGTTGGTTGTGATATTCATATTACTTGGAGTGGAGTAAAGATGAAAAGGAATATCTTGTGCCTTGTGCCTGTGGTTTAATTGAAATGGAGGAGATGATGAGCATTATTTGTTATGAAATTCCTTACCATGATCTCGTAAAGCTGCAGAAAATTGTGCTCATTGTTCAATTGACTTGGAGCAAAGATCAGAAGGAATTATGTTGTGGCTATGGTTTAATATCTGTTGATTAGAGTAATTTTATAAATTTTAACTGATTTTAATACACTTTGCTAAGGGTTTATGAACATGGAACCGCACTTAAATCATTTTAGGTGTTCTTTACATGCTGAAATTGCCAGTGTATGACATGGATTATCTTATTCAACTGTTTCTATAGCACGATTGAGTTGATGTTATGTAAATTTTGATGTGTAGAAAATTTTAGTTTATTTTCTTTCTGTGAAGAAGATTTGTGTTTCTTGGTCTTGTTTTTAATGGTATAATGTATCACATTCACTAGCTCACACTATGTTTTCCTTAGATTGAACGATTTTTTCGCAAGCTGAGTGAGAGAGACTTGTTGAAATGGAAAACGCATGCAAGGAGCCAGAACCACGGTCCTCATCAACAGGGATTTTTGAGTTACCTGGAGAGCCTGCTGTTGTTATCAATGGAGTTCCTGAAGCATCTCCAAGTTTCAATGTTCCTGCTCTCTCTGATGTCAAAATAGGTTCAGAATCACATGAAGATACAGGCTGTGGTGAATGGTTAGAGGGGAGGAGAGTCCAAAAATTGTTTGGAGAACAATATTATACTGGTACCGTGACTGAGTTTGACAAAGAAACTGGCTGGTACAGGGTGGAATATGATGATGGTGATTTGGAAGATCTAGACTGGCGTGAGTTGGAACAGGTGCTTCTTCCTGTGGATATTAACGTTCCACTGAAAGGATTGGCACTTAAGCTCATCAAGAAGAGCCAGAAAACTGTTCACAAATCTGGACAAAAAGTGGTTCGCTCTGGAATTCAGGAGGCCAAACTTGCAGGGAGGAAGATAAAGAAGATTGAGTTAAATGAAAAAGTTTAACTGAGAAAAATTCTTAGAGCGTGGAAGAAGGGAAAATCAAATTACATGCCACATTATGAAGAACAAAGAACCAAGGCGCGGAAATGAAATGCATTTGGAATTTGAGCAGGCTGTATCTTTGGTAACTCAAAACTTCTCCATCTTCGGTCTCCATATCATCTTGTGCAATCTGTTTCTGTTGTTGTTAACAGTAGTATCATCTATCTCTGTAACTTTGTTAAGTCTATTTTACCGCGTAAGGAAACAATTTGCCAATTTTTCACCCTTGTGCTGCAGCTTGCTCGAAACTCCCCTGGCTTCTTTATCCTTCATGCCATGAACACTTGAAGATAGAGAATGAAAAAGAAGAACAAAAAAAATCTAATGGGCCTGTTTCTTGATCCAACAAGCAACCTGGGCAAGGGTTTCTCAACCATTTTGTTGTGTATCAAATGAGTTTGGTTTTGATTTTAATTTTTTTCCTATCTTATTGATTAAAATTCAATTTTAAATTGAGAATACAAAATAATTTCTTCTGGATTCATTATTTTGGTATTCATAACTTGTCTCTAGCCATGCTAACTAGAGAGTTGGACTAATGTTTTTTTTTTATGTTGGATGCACAACGTGAGACAACCATTTCTCATCCATTTTTTCATCCCTTATCTTATCATACTCGCATATTATGTGATTCGAACTTAAGATCTTTTACTTTCAGTAAAAAAAGATTATCACTGAATTATTTAAGTCGTAGGCAACTAGAGAATGATAAAAAATAAAAAAATTAATAAGGTTTAAATATGATCTATTAGGTGAATTTCATATGAGGTTAGTGGCTAAACCACTTCGCCTAAAATGTGGATTTCTTCATGACTTTTCTTTAGCTATGGCAAAGATGTGAACCTCATAATACAACCAAAGAAAGGGAATTTGCCAATTTGGAAACAAAATCCTACCAAATCAAAGCTATAATAAAATTCCCAATGGGCCCCCACTTCATCACACACAAAGGGCGGCCTTCCTTATTCCTTTCGCCTGTCCTTATCCGTCTTTTCAACACTCCACAGTCACCATCAGACGACTCTCATTCTGTCACGTCGACAATCGTCTTCTTCGTGTTGTGATGATACCTATATACTCCCCAACACTCTTCCCTTTCCCACTTCCCTACTCTCTCTTTATTCCTAGGGTTTTCAACCTTCAATCCGTGCATTTTCTCTCGCTTCAAGCTCTTTCAGTCTCTGTTTGTTTCCCAAGAAAACTAGACTGAGGTAAACATTCCGGTGCTTAACTGGGAAAAAAAAATAATTTTCAATCTGTCATGGTTCTTGTACAAACGGCTTTCTCCTGTTCTGTGATTGATAGTCCAACTAACTTAACAAGAAAAGGCGCAATGATGATTTCTTGTTGCATAAGATACTTAGGCTTTGATAGATTTTGTTTCTTTCGATTGTTTATTCTCTCCAATCTGATCGGAATACATGAAAATGGATTGAGAAGATGAATGGTTCTGTCATATCTGTGATTCCATGTAATCAAACATTTGTTTTTTTCTTTTTTCTTTGAAGAGTTCTATATTGTTTTGTTGGTAGTATTGGTGTAATATTCGATCAAAGTTTTGGTGTTCTTTGTGCTGGATGTTAGTAGGGAATTGGGGTGTGATTGGGTAGACTTAATTTTGCCAAATTCTGGGGATGTTGTGTTATTTGTTGATTGAGAACTGGGTTCTTTTTGGGTATTGATCTGAAGGGTTTTCCTTTTCTCATATGGGTTTTCAGGAGCTGTGTTGTGGATTTGGATGGGATTATGAGAACCAGTAGAATGGCAAAGAAAAGAAGCAGGGTTTTGAATGTGGCAGAGACAAATAGAATTGAGGATGAGGACACTGAGCTCGATGATTTGTCTCAACCAAGGCCTTATTCAGCCAGGAATCTTGCAACACATGGGAAACAGAATTCTTCGAGTAGATTTAAGAACAATGGGTTGAATGCACCAGCAGACAAGAAACTGGGCAATTCATCTCCTTCAGGACAAAGTGGACACAAAATTAAGTTCCGTTACTCAGCTAGTTCTAGTCCAGCTCATTCTCCGCCAGATGAGGTAGCAAGGCTTAATAATAATCCAATGGCTGATGATCATTGTGCTAGAAGGAGTCTGGAAATAGCGGAGAGGGAGAAGTATACCCCTGATGCTGTAGAAGCAGCACTGACTTTGATGGACATCTCTTGGGATGTTTCACGTTGGTGCAAGAGTAACTCACATTCTTCTGTGGGGAATCATGGGACGAATATGATGGATGGCATTAAGATAAAGAATGGTGACCAGAATAGTAAGAAAGAATGCTGCAATAGCCATTCTACAAAGAAGGCCAGGACATTTCAGAAGTTTTGTGATGAAGATTTGGGGGAGGGAGAAATTGGTGGTAAATTAAGTTCTCTTTCATCAAAGGAAACATGTCTTGTTCAAAGAAAGCAGAAGAAAAGAAAAGTAGGCAGTGATTCTTCTCTGCCTCAATCAGAATACATGAACTATGGTGTTACTGAGGAGGATAGATCATATGAAAGATGCGGAGATCTTGGGACCAAAGAGCATAAGCGTGATAGATTAAACCCACTATCACCCACGGTTTGGCGAGTAGGACCTCATCACCCTCATGTCTATTCTGAAGAGGTTCTTGAAGAAGATGAATTGCCCTTGTCCTCTCTTATGATTCATCGTTTAAAGAAAGTTCAAGCTCAATATGGTTCTTCTAAAGGACTGACTGATTATTCATCCTTTTCGGCTACAGAAGCTTTGAATTATACAGTTCCAGAAGCAAAGAATATTAAATTTTCTTTGGTAAGTCCTACTCCTCATACTGGGTTCTTATTCTCTATTATACATTTTCTCTCTGCCATCCGTATGGCAATGGTTGCTCCAGATGCAACAGATGATCCTGCAACATTTGACAAGTGTTCTCTGAAGAGGAATCACAAGAGTGATAAGAGTTATCACGGAAAGAAGAAACTTAGTAGTTCACGAGTAAAGCAATATAATTTACCTTTACTTCCCATACAAGAAATTGTTAGTCGTGTGAGATTGAATCCTGGAGATCCTTTTATTCTTGAAACCCAGGAGCCACTTCAGGATTTAGTAAAAGGTGCTCTAAAAATATTTTCTTCAACAAAAGCCCCTCAAGGTGCAAGGTCTTGGGAGCCCCTCACTGTCTATTCCAAGTCTAAGAAAAGCTGGTCATGGGTTGGTCCAGTGTCTTTCAGGCCAGGCAACCCTGTCAAGGAAAACCTGTCTGCTGAAGCTTGGGGTCTTCCACACAAAATGCTTCAAAACTTGGTGGATTCTTTTGCTGATTGGTTGAAAAGTGCTCAAAAAACTTTTCAAATTATTGGAAGCCTCCCTGAGCCACCCCCAAATTTGAATTTTATTACGCTTGATGTAGGGGAAAGGTTAGGCCGTTTGAAACCTCGGAGTGCTGGCGCTACTATCAGTCCTTGCTCTGAAGAATTAAGGGTCTATTTCCGCAAGGAAGAGGCTGTTAGGTATTTAGTTCCCGAGAGAGCCTTTTGTTACACTGCATTGGATGGTAAAAAATCTGCAGTTGCTCCACTGAAAAGCAGTATCAGTGGCAAGCCATCATCAAGATGCCGAGAACATTTCATGCTCAAAGCCAATAGGCCTCCTCATATCACTGTTCTTTCTCTTGTGAGGGATGCAGCCGCCAGATTGCCTGATGGGGTGGGCACTAGAGCTGATGTCTGTATTCTCATGAGAGATTCACAGTATATTGTGGAAGACATATCTGAAGAACAACTTACCCAGGTTGTTAGCGGTGGCCTGGATCGCTTGCACTATGAAAGTGATCCCTGTGTGCAGTTCGATGGGGAGACTAGGTTCTGGGTCTATTTGCATGGAGATAGAGATGAAGACGATTTTGACGAAGACGGTACTGTATCTACAATAAAGAGGCATGGGCGGCATTGAAAAATCCTTCGAAGTAATGTACATAATTTTCAGCTTTTTCCATCTCAAAGTTGATAGTCCCTTCATATTAAGCTTTAGTTAGTTTCATGGATTTGGGTCACTTGTGTTGAAATTGGAAATGGTATGGTTTCCAATTTGGATTTATTGTATTTTTTTTTTTAATTTGAAATGGACTAAGAATTACATTTTTTTAATCTTTGACTTGATTTTGAAGGCAATTAGAAAATAATATTCTTGAGTTCTATACACCTATACAATATAAGCGCTAGTAATATATATATATTATGTTTTTTTTTAATTAAAAAAATTAATGTGTATAATATTGAAAATAGAATAATTTTTTTGATATAAATTATGGAGTGTTTTTAGTAACAAAATTATAGTAGTAATGAAATTATAAATATCTTAATTAGTAAAGGGACAAAACTTAGATAAGAGCACTTTATGATGAATGACAAAACTTAGCTAAAAAAAATTACATCCAAAAAGTAAAACCATGGATAACCAGCATTCTCCATCCTTGTCTATATAAGGGTACATAAGATCTTTCTTAAAGTTGTGGTGTCTTAGCTATGAGCATATTTTTACATCAAGCTGGTATCCACAAGAACCGTTCCGGTGCCATCCAGAGTGTCCTGTGTCTGTCCTTCTGCAGACGTTTCTCTTCGGAGAAACTAGAATTGATACCCCAAAGCAAGAAAGTAAAGGGGCCGCTCAGAGTTATAGACATCATATCCAGGAGTAGAAGTGTAACCAGTGTCCGTCAAAGCCATCTTCGTCTCATTCAGGACTTTCTGCAAACAGATTCAGAACGATTTAATAAACAAAATTTTGGGAATGATTTTGCTAGTTGGGATTCAACTGGGGTTTCAGATTTCTTTGATGAAATACTTGAATCTTCTGTTGTGGATAAAGAGAGGTCGAAGAAGGGTACGCAACATGCAAGTTTTCTGTCGAATGCTGTGAGTTCGTGTGCGTCTACCCGTGATCTTCTCCGCGGTGTTCAGTACCATTGCTTGGCAATAACGACTGGATTTGTTTCCAATGTTTATGTAGGGAGTTCTTTGATCGCTCTGTACTGCAAGTGCGAGCAGATGGAGAACGCCTATAAGATGTTCGAAGAAATGCCTGTGAAGAACGTTGTTTCGTGGACAACGATCATTGCTGGCTTCGCACAGGAATGGCAAATTGACTTATGTTTGCAGCTGTACCGTATGATGAGGCTGTCTGCAATGAAGCCGAATGATTTTACATTGACGAGTATCTTGAGGGCCTGCACGGGTACTGGAGCTCTTGGGCAGGGGAGAAGTGCTCATTGTCAAACAATTCAATTGGGTTTCTACTCATATACCCACGTTGCCAATGCTCTCATTTCAATGTACTGCAAGTGTGGGAGTCTTGAAGATGCATTGTACATATTCAAGAACTTGCCTGGTAAAGATAATGTCTCCTGGAATTCCATGATTGCAGGATATGCACAACACGGGCTTGCACAGCAGGCAATTGATCTGTTCGAAGAGATGAAGAATAAGAGTATGAAACCCGATGCCATTACATTTCTTGGAGTTCTTTCTTCATGTCGTCATGCAGGGCTTGTTGAGCAAGGGCGTTTGTATTTCAATTCAATGGTTAAACATGGTGTTAAGCCGGAGTTGGACCATTATTCTTGTGTTGTTGATCTTCTAGGCCGTGCGGGATTACTAGAAGAGGCTCGAAATTTAATTTTAAAGATGCCAATTCCTCCCAATGCTATTTTATGGGGCTCCCTGCTTTCTTCGTGTAGACTACATGGGAACATTTGGATTGGGATACAGGCTGCAGAGAGCAAGCTGCTGCTGGAACCAGGATGTGCCGCCACCCACGTCCAACTGGCAAATCTATATGCCAGTGCAAAGCGCTGGGATCAGGCAGCAAGATTGCGGAAACAGATGAAGGACAGAGGACTGAGAACAAATCCTGGGTGTAGCTGGATTGAAGTTAAGAACGAGGTTTACAGGTTTAGAGCTGAAGACAAGTCAAACAGTAAGGGGGCTGCAATTGTTAGCGTTTTGGGTTGGCTGGTGGACCACATGAGGAGTTTAGGTTATGTGCCGGAGACTAGTGGGGAAGAAGATGATGATGCTTTGCCATCAGCATTTCAAGTTCTGAACTAACCTAAAACGATTCAGAGAAGCTCGCTGGTAAAAAACAGATGAACAATCCGTTCACGTCTACAAAGAACCTCCTCGGACATCTATTGAGAAACAGAGGGTCGATTTTACCCGTGTCCATGTCTAATAATATTCAGCAATAACACTTGCATATTCAACAAGATTAGGCTATAGACCACTTGACTATGTCAGTTTCAACTCTGTTGAGGAAAGTGTGGAAGAAAATCCCTATGCTCCTTCACCCTCTGGAATTGACACATCAATAGAGGTTATACTTCTACGAAGTAGAAGAAAACAGAGTTCGTTCGAGGAAAATCAAGAGCTGCCTGAATTATAACCCATAAGGGGAAGTCTCAGTTGATTTACGAGTTTAATATTTTAAATTACAGATGTAAATGGGTAAGAAAGATTGAAAAAAGAAGAAAATTATTCTTTCTTGTATAATTCAACATTTGTGGTACTAAAAACAGAAAGGAACTACTTGAATTACACAACAATCGAGTAGGTCCATTCATATGAAATTAAAGAGGGGGACTATGTAATGATATTTCAGCTTATCTGAAAGAATTATGTTGTCTGCTAAAATCAGAATAACATAATAAGAGAAACTGCAGTGACAGAACAAACACCGAAAGGAATAAAGGGGGAAGGAAAGACATGGATTGATGAACCAGTCCATTTTCCGTTATTTTTCATAACAATATGATTCACCATTTCAGTAATTGACTCCGCAAATCCACAAAAATACTTGAAATCTTGAAAAAGTTACATGATTCATAAGAAAAATAAGATCTAAGATGTCTTGCGATTATAGCATTGTAAAATTCCAACTAAATCCTGTAACTCCTGCCTCTCATAATGTTGCAACAATCGCCCAGAATAACTAAAAATCACCATTACTGAAGAACTCGTACCGAGATTCTGTCATTAAGACAGAGCCCTCTGTTCTTCTTGAGGAATGCATTCATAGCTTGGATTTGGGAAGGGAAGCGTACTATTGCAAGTCTGATGTTTTTGGGGAATGACCCCCTTTGAAACATCTGCATGGAGGATGCATCAAAATCAAAACCTGAGAGAAAGCGTTCCACATCATCTGGAAGTGCATTTCGTGGGATTCCTTGCAGTACAACCTGACAAGATCAGCAACAGCAGTAAATTACAACATTATACCAGCAATCTTCAAATCTCACAGACATGTTTCAGTGATCGCATAAAAAATATCGATGACGCAACAGACACAGTCCCAGGATATTCATTAAAAAGATGTCACCCTGCTAGAACCATAGACTCAACAGTCAACGGTTCATATGGTAGCCTGGTAGAGATCTAGTTTAAATCCAAGAAAAAGGTCTTTGATTCAGCATATGCAAATTTGATGATTGAACTCCTTCAAAATAATAGTTCTCATCCAAGTCTAAAATAAACACAGCACCATAGGACAAAGCCGGATATTGACACCCTGACAACTATACAATATAGCTTTGTATATTGCAAAGATATTTCCCACTACAAAAAGGTCTAAGTTCTTCAAAGATTCTGAAAAATTATTCTCAGTTAGCATGCCTTATATGCATCAAGTGGTTGAGGCCATTAGCTTGTCAGGAACAATTCATCCTTTAAGCTTGGATCCACAACCACAAGCCTGAAACCTTGAGCTTCATGAAAGTTTTATGCCTGATTATGCTGATTGTGTAGCAGAGCACAGTTATGATGAACACCAACAGCCAACATTTCAAAATGCTAAAAACCCATATTAAAATCAACCAGCATAAAATAGCAAACTTTTACTTACAGTTTTCCCATCATATGGTGCAAGGATATCCCATTCGGAACCATTAATCTGATATAAAAATAAAAGCATAGTGTCAACATAAAAGAACCAAATTCCAACACAACATTTTCAACCAAAACATGAAGAATGTGTCTAAAGTTGCAATACCCTCTCAAACTTGTAAAACCCAAACTTCCGAATTGTCCTTTGTGCATGATTGTAAGCACTGGGCGAGGGGAACCTCACCAACCTGATTCACACAACAAAACAAATGCCGCAGTTAAAACAATGCTTCTGAAAATAAAAAAAAGACCCCTTCTTTCAGATACTGATCACACGTAAATTCTGAATACTGAGGTAGAAAGAAGAATACGTTGCAATGGGATCAAAGGTCCAGTTGTAGCTGAATTTGACATCATCAGGTGTCAAATTAGAACCTTCTAGCAACTTAATAATATCACTTTTCAATGCGTATCTTGAGCCGCCGGACAGTCTTCCAAACAAAAAACCTTATACAGTTAAAAAAAAAAAAAGTATCAATAAGTGTTTGGTGTAAACCAAAACCCTAACTTAAACCCCAATTTCTAGATGGAAAAAAAAAGGGGGGGGGGGGGGGGAAGAAAAGAAAAGAAATGCAGAAACCTGAGCTTGCTGATTGAAGAATTCGATCGACTGAGGCGTCGGGTTGTGGCTCCGGTGGCGGCGATGATGGCAGTTCGGTTTCGGTGGAGAAACATCTCGGAGATTCTCGAAGATACAAAGGTAGGCCAATTGTTGGATTCACTGTTCGTACAGAAGAATTCGATCGGAGTGCATTTCTAAGGAGATACATTTTTCCGGGAGGCTTTTCCGCCGGCGACTGAGAAATGCGGCGGCGATAGCCCTAGGTATCGGCGTAGCAAAAGTGTTGAGAGGAGAAACACATAGCAGAAAAGTATAGTAAAAGAGAGGGACTACAGTAGAAGATGATGTGTTGGCGAATCAAAACGCTGCGTTTCTCGAACTGGTTAAAAGACCGTGATCTGTTGGGCTTTTTTGGGCTTGATGAAATTAAAGCCCAATCATCAAAAAGTTTCTTAGCCTGTGTTCTGTCCAGTCATATTTGCTCTCTATTTAGCCATTTTGTGGGTTGCTAAATATACTGATAAAAAATTCACCCAAAAAAAAAATACTGATAAAAAACTATTATTTTATAAGTTAAATGTAGAGTTTAAGTTTTGAAGCGACACTCACATTGAGACAGGGGTGTATCCTTAATATTACCAAAGAAATTAATTGTGTTAAGATTGACCCAAAAACATTCTAACCATCTAAACCCAAAAAAAAAGTCATTTCATGCACCAGGGATCTTGCTAACGTGTCCATGACGGTGTAATTATCTTATATCCAAACCTTATGAATTCTATCAACAACTTATTAGTTTAAGTGAAAATAGTTTGATTTTCCTTAAATAAAATTTTGAGTTAAAATATTGTGAATAGAGAAATAAGTGCTGGAAGAGTTCCCTTTAATAAGGTTCGATGTGACTCAATTTTAAATTAATCGGAATTCAATGTAATTACCAGTTATCGAGAGGTTAATATATATATATAAAAAAAAAAACCTTGTGAATTATCAAAGCCTAGATTGCTATAGTGATACAATATAAGATAACCTTTTATTTATGATATAAGATAATGTTCTATTTCTTAAGAATATGTTATTATTAGGTTCAAGGCGGGAAGAGAATGGGAGTGAAAAAATCTATCCAATCAAATTAAGATGTTGAATTAAAATATTAATTTAATTGAACAAAATTTTTTTCCTCTCATACCTTTTACTTATTTTAAACCAAACATAACCTACATCTTTACTTATTTAATTCAATGTTTAGAGGAAATTTTCAACTTAATATCTTTAGACTCTTACTTAAGGTGTTAAAGAGAAGAAATAATAATATTTTCTACTTCCTTTAAATTAATCTTTGGAAGTCACAGAAGAGTTTTATTATTATTATTA